ATCATAGTCTATCTAGGGCGATAGTGTACTGTGTGCGGTACATTATCATAGTCTAGCTAGTGTGATAGTGTAGCTAGTGCGGTAAAGTATCGTAGTCTACCTTGTGCGATAGTGTACCTTGTGCGGTACAGTATCATAGTCTACCTAGTGCGATAGTGTACCGTGTGCGGTACACTTGACACCCGTTTCAACTTTAATAAATAAAATGAAGGCATTATGCTATTAAATGACAACATAACACGAAAAAACAGAGTTGAACAAGGACATCAAGACAACACAAAAAAGCAGCTCTATTTTGTTGGATTTTTTTTGGCGAGCTTTTGTGATGTTTTGACTCAGTCAGGAATATTAAATAATGATTCCAAAAAAACAAAAAAACTTGACTAATCTACTCCAGCACCACTTTTTAGTCTTCTTCTTCTTTAAATTCTTTTTTAATGATTTGTTTTTTTAAATTTATGATTACTTTGTCTTTTTCTTTGAGCTTCTGAAGGAGGCTGMTGATTGAAATGTAATAGGGAGAGAAATGTCGGAGAGTTATTCACAACTAGCCTCCTTTTCAGCCTGTACAACCTGGCCCGCTAGATAATTACAGGTATCCGTCAGATTTTCAAAAAGACCCCTAAAAGATCCCGGAAGTCTTTAGAAAAGGACGTAGCTGACTGATTTTTAATCCCTAAGAGATTGCACAATAGATATTGTCTTAAATTGAATCAGTTCCAATGATAAAAACGCAGAGAAAAATCAATATCGATGCGGTCTTTCTCTTCTTTTCCCACACCCCAAGTGATTGCAGAAAATGCAAAAAAAATTTTAATCAGGGAGCTCTCTAGGGGTACAGTGTTATTTCACTGTAATGTTTGCAAGGTAGCTGCAAAATTGTGTAAAATAAATGTAGCCCACCTATTATCCGGTGAATGCTACAAGAACATTACGTTATTTTGTAAAAAGTCGCTTTGTTTGCTATTCAAGTTCCACCAACATTTGCCGCTTCTAGTTGCGCCGTTACTTCAGCTAATTTTAGCTTAATCTGGACAACTTCCTCTACCTACAATAAATAGGCATAAATGATAGCTATTAACATCGATGATGATGATGATAACGTGTGAAATCAACATTTTATTCTTATTTATAAATTATTCTGCCCTGCTYGAGTTGGTTTTCCATATTCTTGATCTTTTATTCTCCTTTACGCGCGCGCTCGCGAGAAATCGGCGGGAAAATCAACTTCCTCTCCAGGGCCATCTCGTTCGGTGATATTGCCCTACGCAAATAACTAGACGATCTTATAGCCTGTATTCGGACTGCAAATAATTAGTTGCAAGTTGGAGAAGTTTGACGGAGAAGAGTGTTCTACTTCTTACAGAAAAGTCGCATCGCTTTTCCAAATTGTCCATCCGCTCGATATACATAGACAATCAATTCGAAACACATAGCAAATTTATTGGATTCACATTCGGTACACTACATTCGATCTTTTTGTTGTTGTTTTATTAATATAGAAAAAGATGTTCAATACCATTAATTACAAATATTCATATAAAGGCGGATTGGTGGCTAATGACGTTTGATTTCTATCTTAGTATTTGGTTTTAGATCACAAAGTTCTGGGACGCTTCTTAATCGCAGATCCTTCCGATTCCTCCATATAGTGCCACTGCCATCAAGACTCACTTGATACCATGGGTTACGGGAACCTTGTATATCTTTAACTTTACCAGTATTGTAAATTGGCAGGCCGTCTTTATGGGTTAAGGCTAACACCAACTGACCAATGTAAATCTGATTTGGTTCAGGAATATTATCTTTATAGATCTGATCGGAATTTCTTTTGTGAACCACAAGTATGCTACCATGCATTAAACTTTTGTGTTTATCATGAGGAATAACTGTCAAAGTCTCGTCATCGATGTTTGTTACGTAGCCCCGAACATATATCACCTCTAAGGAATACTTGTACCACATTGCCATAATTGTTGCTCCTTTTGTTATACAGTCTGCAAAAACGATAAATGTACGATATTAAAACTATCAACTACAAGATAGTACACAATAAATGACTGGCAGTATAGCATAACGAAAGCTGAGTAAAAACGCCTTGGTGTGACCTCCCTCATTTAAGTGTCGGAAATGTCGTAAAGAAAAGAAATAATAACAAATAATGACTCAAATATGTAAACTGCGATTCCAATCTGTTAGGCCATTTACCGGAGTAGAAGTCACAGCCATAAAATTCTGCACGAAGACAAACCGAAGATCCAGAAAAAGACTGGGTATCTTCATACTGGTATATTCGTATTTTATGGGCGATAATTGAAGGACGTAGAATGTGCTTCATTACTGAATTCCTATCTTTGTTTCCTTCGAATACCTGCAATTTCAAGTAAATCACGTTTGTTTATTACTATCCAGTGTGAAATTTTAAATAGTTTATAGAGATTCATGGGAGGTGATCAAGCACGTTGAGTTCATTTGCACGACACAATACAGTCCAGGCCTCCTTTCGACCTGCTCTAGAACTCGCGGGAAAATAGAGTCCAGTATATTTTGCCTACGCATGTGCAGAACTAGCCAATCAGATTGACTGAATTAACGACTTTTCTTTGTTTGTATATGTATATCTCTTTTTATTTTAGTAATTAGTCAGTTTTTGCCAGTGTTAAGCCCCCTTCAATAGATTTTTTACATATTTTATTTTTAATTTTTTTTTTACTTTGTATATAGTTCATCGTTTTTCTTGTGTTTTTTTTTTCTTAGATTTTTCTAAATTTGTGTAAATAGCTTTTTATCCTTTCGCAGATTTGTAAATAGGATTTATTATGAATTTCAAATTTATTTATTGTGTTAAGCCCCACTTTGCACTCATCATAATTATTCATTCAAATTTTCGCTTCAGTGTTCAGTGGAATGTAGACGATGATTTGAACCTGCAGGTATAGCGCGATAGTCGTCAAATTACAAGGGTAAAGGATATTGTCATTTCCATAGTGCATAGACCAATAATAATCACGGATATACAAATGACATCCTATCGGTCTTTTGTAGCCTCGCGATTGCTACGTTAATAACACCAGGCTTCAATGCGYATGAAAGCTTTATTGGACTCTTTCACCGCGAGTCATAGAGCAGGTCATCGAAAGGGCGGCCAGGACTGGAYTAGCACGACCAGTACTCACTTCATCATCATGGTATCGTAAAATTGTATTTTTATRACTTCCGATAGAGGGAAAGGTCTCACCTTAACCTTGCCATTGACCCTGTATGTAAACCATCGTGCACCAAGTGCAAAGCGTAGCTCGTACTTGTTCATCCATTTATACTCAGTTGGGTGCCCTTGTGTTGCAATGGCCGTTAATTCTTTAATCGATGTACCAAAATCGACCTGAAGATATTTCTCATATTCACTTCGTGCCGAACACCACGCGCGACGATTAAACAACCGCCCATTCTTTGCCTTGTGACGAGAGTCGCGATCAGACGATGCTTGCATCATCTCATTAGTAATCTTATAATTGCGCATTCCTATTGCAGATGTGCATTCTGCCAGAAAGTAAAAAATAACGTTAAATTCAACAATAAGATTATTAGTCTTAATTACTTTGTTTACCCAAACAAGTCAGTCTTTTTGCTGTCCATCTCGCATTCAGCTGGCACCGTATGGCCCTGAACCCTCGTTGAGAGTATCCGCTGTTGCAGCCAAACCGCACAATATTATTGTATGTATAGTTGGAATTCAACTTGAAGCCATTAGTGGGTGTCCCGGGGTTAGGGCAGCTGAGAACTACACAGTAAGCGCAAAATTATTAGTATAAGTACACATAAAAATTAAAATCAACTACTCACGGTAACAGAAAGGCTGTACTCCACTCCACTGTTTGTTTGCTTGGCATTTTCGAGTGCGAGAACCTTTTATTTTAAAGCCACGATCTCCATGACAACCAAATGTGTAAACCTGTTGGTAGGTAGTACCAGTGTATCCTTTTATATAGCCACGTAATGGGTATGGAAGAGGACCACATTCAACAGCTGAAAGATCAAAAAAGGGTTCAAAAATAWAACTACATCAATAAAATCATACCACAAATATTATCAGTCCAGACTGGATGTCGAAGGAGAAGTCCATCAGAAAAGTTATTTGGGGGTGTGGAAAAGTTTTAAATAGTTGCACTTGTATGTGTGTGTGTGTTTTTCGTGGTCATCAAAATTGGAAATATCCTTCACATATGTAACTTTTGCTCTTGCCCTACACATCTTCCTAAATTCTGTTAAGAATATATGATGAGTGACATACTTACGATTGCACTTAAAGTTAATGCTAGTCCAGCCATCTTCGCATCGAATGGAGGGATTACCAGTCAGATAGTAACCACTTTTGCATGAAAAGAATACCTCATCACTTTTCAGATAGGGACCATTTTTTCCTCTTGGAAATGTGATGTACGCGTTGATAGGAACGCGCGGTGGCTTACACTTTGGAGCTATTTATCGAAAATAATCAAAGCAATAAGATGATAAAAAGAATAACGTAATGGATTAAAATACATTTGATTGAAATTAAATTAAATTAAAATTATTATAATCAACTGCTAAGAGCAAACCTGCACAGATAAAATCTGCTTTAGACCATTTCCCATGAATGCAAGTTATTGAGGGTTTGTCTCCCCGCAAGAAAAACCCTGGGTTACAGCTGAAGAATACCACGTATTCGTTGTCATAATAAGCCTTAGTTCTTGACGTCATGTACGAATTAAGAGGAATAGAAGGATTCTTGCAGCGCATCCCTTAAAACGTAAATAGTTGTGATTTAATACAAGCCTTTAAATCAATAACCAATCGTTACTTTTATGTTCATTGCTATATTGTTCACAATGCAAATATCTGGTTTTCTTCGCGCATCACTGATGTGAGTAGCTATACCACAGTAGTACAGGTTCTCACAATTCTAATCCAAAAGTTAAAAGTGAGTATGTTGTTATGCATATTTAGATACCTCTACAATAAGGCTGGTTTCCACTCCATTGTCCAGTGACCAGACACTGCCGCTCAAATGAGCCAATCAAAGAAAATCCTTCGTCGCAARCAAACGATACCTTATTTGGGTAAACAGTGAGTGAGCCCTTCATGAAACCGTTCGACAGTGAAGGCAGAGAACCACAATCGACAGCTATAAATAAAAAATAATTTTAGTAATTCCCTTTCGAAATTTCTGCTGCTATTTTGTAATACGCATATAATATAAAATGCATGCAAATATTACCGTCGCAGACAGGTTGTGTGCCGTTCCAAGTCCCGTTAGCCTGACATATAAGAACTGAGTTGCCTTTGATTTTGAAACCGGGATTACACGAATAGTATGCCATCTTTGAGAATGTAGTTTCCGCGGCTTTCACATAGCCCTGAATAGGTGCACTAAGTGGACCACAATTCACGGCTAGAAAACAACAACATTATCAGCAATTGATATCTTTAACAAAAATAACTTTCCCGTTTTGTAAATTTATGCTGCAGAATCACTGATCTCTGGTGCATGCATTGAGAGAAACTAATCATTAATTACATCTGATCTCTGTGTTCAAGTTTCAATAGTACACGTGGCGCAATTTTTGTTCTTTTTGTAATCACGCAACACCTCAATTCACTATAAAAATTTTAAACTTAGACTCTTCATTAACCTTTGCAATTTGCCAGAATTCCACTCCATGATCCATCTGATTGACAACGCCTTATAGCAGAACCAGTCAGATCAAAGCCATTGTTACAACGGAACTTTAGGATATTGGGATAAACCGTAAGCTTCCCAAGACGTGAACCATTCAAAGGAACTGCCAAAGGACCACAATCAATAGCTGAAGGATAAATTAAGTTATCAAGAATGGACGTTAGTTATCACCCTAAACCACGGCAATCMAGCYGCCAATATAGCRACACAACTCGAAGATTGTTAGACAAGTATACCGTGGACATAAATCTATATGAAGCCTCAGACTTTGTTCGAATATGGTCTAATTTCGAAAATAAATCTCTTAAATGAAAATATTGAACTTTTGAAATTTTGAATTTAATAATTTATATGCATCCGTAACACCTTAACGATATCGACAATGAAGCACTTTTAATTCTGACCGTTAAAATTTATATTTTGAGTTCTTACTTGTTGTAGTGTCGTCCGTGCATCGATTTTTTTTTACGAAGGATAAAGTTTATATGAATTAGCATTAAATACTGATCGACATGGATCGGAATAACCCTTGAAATCATCGTAATAGAATGCTGTATCTATATGAGCCATATTGACACGATATCTACTTGCCTTCACAACCAGGTACACTACCACTCCACTTTCCACTGGATTCACAACGAATGGAATTAGTTCCTTTAAGAATAAAGCCCCGATGACATGAAAACCTCACTTTATAGGGATATACTGTGACCGATCCATCTTTTGAACCGTTCTTTGGTGTGGTAACTGGGCCACAATCAACAGCTGTAAACAAGAACAACGGGATCATTTTATAACCGCGTTATCTCGATGAACATGCCTTTTAACTCTCATAGCAATTTTTGTGCTAAATTTACACGTCAATAAGCTTTATTGTTTTAATATATACGTACACGCTCATTACAGAATGAAAAATGGTATTGTTTAGTCTTATGGATTATCAGACTGTTTTAAGCACTTTTACMATTATGAATGTTGTGAAATCGTATACAAAGTTCTAAAAAGCGGAGTGGATTGCACGTACTCTCAATTGTACCTCTACAATATGTGGACGTTCCAGTCCACCTGCCGTTAACTTGGCATCGCCTTTTCGATGGCCCAACTAGAATATAGCCGAACTCACAATGGAATTTAATGGAATGAGGGAAATGTGTGTTTTCGCCGCAGGAAAATCCATTTGTAGGCTCACGAATGGTTCCACAGTTAATGGCTTCAATTAGAACATATGCTAGTGTTTAGTGTGCAGTTATCTAGTAAAAACAACACTGAGAGCATGCCTTTGATACCCACAGTGTTGTCGTCCATTCGCCAATATCTATAGCGAACGATTTCGCATTTGCTACAAACAGTAGTTTAGCTTATAATAACTATCATATATTGTATTATTCACTCATGTCTCTGAAGTGTTTGAAAAAAACTCCATTTATGCATGTATGCACAGAACGTAACACAAAAATTCGAGAGCATCTAAACTATCATAATCATCTCATTCAAGTACATATTGGCGAACGTTTTTACCTTCACAAACAGTGGATACCCCACTCCATTGTCTATTTGCTTGACACTGCCTTGTTGAGCTTCCCTTTAAAAGAAAACCTCTATCACATGAAAAGGAGACAATGTTTGGAAAAACTGTTAAAAAACCAGCAACTGAACCATTCACAGGTACAGTCAGCACACCGCAGTCAACAGCTGAAAAAGTGAAATCGACATACAATCCGTGAGTCACTGCCCTACTACCTTGACATATCGTAGTCTCGCCGCTCCATTTCTCACTACTTAGGCAAAAACGCACAGGTGATCCAAAGAGATCAAAGCCTTCATTGCATTATAATGTTATCTTATTGGTATGAGAATAATCTGCGGCTACCGAAACTATTACTCTTTTCATTTTCAGACGCAAAAAATGTTACAAACCTTTACAGGTYGCTATTTTTCCACTCCAAGTGCCATTCGACAAACAACTGCGTACAGATGAGCCTACTAGATCGAATCCTTGGTCACATCCGAACTTAACTTTGTTAGGGAAGACGGTCAATTGACCATCCATTGAACCATTTCTAGGCACCTTTAGACGACCGCAGTCCGTTGCTGTTAGAAAAGCGACATTAACATTCATTAACTTTGCAATTGTATTACTAAGGAGAAAGTTTCACCTTGGCATGCGGTCAACTGTCCACTCCACGTCCCATTGGCCTGACAAACACGGAACGACGAACCGCGAAGAACAAATCCTTTGTCACAGCTAAACTTCACAGCGTTCGGAAAGACGCTCAATGATCCTTGACGCGAACCATTGTGTGGAACATCAAGTAGTCCGCAGTCAACAGCTTAAAACGTGAAGAAAAAGCACATTTCAATTTGGTGACAATTTACCTTAATTTGATTTTTAAAACAAGCTATCATGTCGCATAGAAAAAGTTATCGAATGATACTGCGCACAATGTAAAACATATCAACTTTTATCTCATTAACATAAACATTTTCTTTTAAATTGAAAAAATAACTAATTATTTCGCATATTACTTCCAGTGACAATTACAATGTTATTCTAACCTCTGCAAAATGCTTGTTCGCCACTCCATGTTCCATTTGATGTACATACACGTTGAGATGAGCCAATAAGATCAAATCCTTTGTCGCATTTAAAGCGTACACTGTTCGGAAAGAACGTCTTTTTCCCATGCTTTGACCCATTTTTTGGCACAGCGAGAAGACCACAATCGATAGCTTGAAAAAAAAAGGATCAATGACTTCTTATCGAATGTAAACTCTAGACAAAAAAATGCTTTTTTGCAGTAATCTGAATTAATGACAAAAACGCACGTCAATGATATATGTGATATATCATATCGATGATTTTCGCTTATAAGCATTTGGCCAAACGGACTACCGATACATTGTTCCTTATTTGTTTCACTTCATGTTCTGTTGGATTGATGGTCTAGTAACGACGATCCATAAAGAACAACCCTTCATCGCACTGAAATTTCATGATAAAGGGAAACGTTGTTGATAGCCCTTGTCGAGRCTCATTGACAGGAACACCAAGAGATCCACAACCAACAAAAGTGACCGGACCACACAAWATAACTTAGCAATTTCATGTGAAAACTGCACAGCAAAATTTCTCAACCTTCACCTTTGCACGAGGTTGGACTACCGCTCCACAGCCCACTAGAAAGGCACATTCGTATCTGAGATCCCAGCAAATCAAATCCGTCGTCACAATAAAACACCA